GCCTCTCAATCAAAAGGTTGGCGGTTCGAGTCCAACAATGATCCAAGACAATTTTGCCCTGCCCAGAAAAATAGATTTATTCAAGTGTTAAACAGTGCGACGCCTTAAGCAGCTACAACAATCATACATTATTATGATCACTACTCTTAAAAAATATAGATAAAGAAGTATTACCTTCGTATGATCGTAGTTATCTATTAAGACTATAAGCATAAATCAAATTTGATCAATCAACTTGTACGAAAAAAGTTGAAAAATTGAATTCAGAAATTGACACCATAAGTGAGTGGAGTAAAAATAAAAAATTAGTTCTGGTGGAAATGGAAATAGTGTACACTTAAGGAGAGCAAATTCGCCGCAACTGTTTTCACAGTTTGACTTTTGAAATCAGAAGAACGTTACAAATCACATTTCCATCCGCAGCTACAGTAGTGAAAGTATAAACTAAAACTGAATGACAAGATTGTGCAATGGTCATGAGCTAGATAAGCGACACGCGGAAAAAGACGGGTGCAAAATAGATACATGGATATATATTTTTCAACTAAACGCGTTCCTAAAATACTCCATTGTAGTTATTTTTTAAAGCATCGTATTTTGTCTGATACAATTTTTCACTTGTAGTCAATATTCAGAATCAGAGCTAACAAAAATAGTGCTGTTTAGCTCAATTTATTGCCAGTATCCGTCCTTCCTCATTTTTCTTCGGTGGTAACCGAAATAAAATACGCCACTAAGTTGAAAACGCCACTCTTTCTCCGACTGAAAAAAGATGGAAAATTTTAAAATCTTGAGATATATATGCAATGTAAGTTATAATTACCAGAAAGGATAATGCAATTGGCATTGCCACTTTTCCGCGTACTTCAGGTGCATAGGAAGCTAAACTTCTTTTTAATCTTCAGCTCCCTTGCCAGTAAAAAAATGTACAGACCATTTGGGGAAAAAAATTACTCACAAAGAAACAGTATTTTAACTAATTTGGTTGCATAACCTTAAAATTACTCCATAAAAAGAAGGGCTAATCATTTGGTTGCATAACCACAAAATTACTCCATAAAAAGAAGGACAAAGCGGATGGGAAATTAGGATCTATACAAAGAATAAGAAACTAGGGGTTAAATTTACGAGCTATTTGATAACATAACAAGGACAGCCGGTTACTGTGCAAAACTAATTTTTGTTGAAAAAACAATTTTTGTTGAAAAATTTATAGAAATATGAAGGAAAAAAATCAAAAAAAAATTTCACAAATTTATTTCAATTTGTTTGCAGTACTTAGAATAAAAAAACTAACGCTACTCAAGAAACCTAAATTTAGACGTTTTAAATTAAGCTATTGTAAGCTTTTAAGCCATTAGAATAAGCTAATAGCTCGCTCGTTTTGTTCGCTCTAATTAGGACGAAAAAACAAAAATTTCAAATCGGTATTTCTCGACACTGCGAAAACTTTCTGATGTCAATCGAATCACGGCTGAAAGGGCTTAAATATGATATATCAATCGATTCTCTCCGATGATTATTTGTGGCAGCTGACTTAGCGTGGAAAACGAAAAAAAAAGAAAAAAAACTAAAACAGACCCGAATACAAAGTTCTTACCCAATATACAAATCGGAACAACAAATATAACTAGTTCCTTTCACGTAAGATCACAGAATTTTCGACCAAATTTTTTATTTTTTAAGTTTTATATTCAAATCCCAAAGTTGAAACTCCAAATTACGACTAGAAATATTTTTTTTAAAAATGCTGCCGTATTTGAGACTGTATGAGCTTATTTGTAGGCACCTTAAGTGGAGTCTATAAATCCTACTCTATGCCATAGTTGTTTCAATCTTTCAAGCCATTGAATTGGCGGTGTATCGACTAGCATAAAGCTCGACTAACATAAATACTTCGAAAATCGCACCCACTAGCATAAAAGTTGAAGCAAAAAATTGAAATATTGAATAAAAATAAAATCATTGGGATCTTGGTAACAATTTCTTCCCTACTGGGCTTTATTAGCTATCCCCCTATGCATGCATTTTTTGACAGCGGATTTATATAAAATATGCATTTCAATTATAGGTTCAATCAGCAAAAACTGTAGATAGCAAAAAAGTACCAAGGGGTGACCCTTTGTGCGGATATGGGTCAAATCCTATGGGGGTGGTCATATTTTCATGTGTTTAAACTTTAATGCTAGTCGAGCTTTATGCTAGTCAAGCCTCCTTTCCTTGAATTTAATGAAGTGGTATCTGAGCAGTAGAATAATGCAGGTCAAAACTTGTAATGGAAATCATCTGGAATGCAACAAGGATCGCTGCTAGGGATTCGACCCCCTTACCAATTAAAGGATCCCCCTTTTGGTATTATTTTAAGACATCCGTTTTCGGGCAACCAACCCAACAACTTTTCCAAAGGAAATTAAGTCATCTCCCTACTAGATTATTTCAATATCTATACCATCTAACTCAAGGCAAATGGCGCCTCTGTAAAATTCTTTTAAAAAATTCTGCCATATTGTGAGGCGACAATTCGTAAGATGCGACGATTCGTAAGATGCGACAGTTCGTGTAACAAGCAACAATTCGTAACAGTAGATTGAGCGGGGAACGGATTCACACCCAGTATTGCTCTCGTGCCGGATGTGAGCGCAGCGGAGCAAGCGTATTCTACTTGCCAACCAATGCCTTGTTGCGAAGTGCCGCCTGTTACGATTTGTAGCCTGTTGCGAATTGTCGCCTGTTACGAATTGTCGCTCCATCCTATCAGATAGTACTTAAGTTTTGTCGTTTTGACGATAGACATTTGTTAGCTAGAAATTTAGTTATCTCCCTGCTAGATTATTTCACTATCTATACCATCATCTAACTCCAAGAGGCAACTGGCGCCTCTAGGTTATTGCAAAATTATAGCCAATTCATGTTAAAAAACACCGCGTTCGGTTTTCAGGTGTTAACTCAAGCAAATAGCCATTATTTTAAACATACTGTTTCGAATAAGTGATGCGCTCAGTTTTTCTAAGTTATCACACCAATTCTTCAAAACGGTACACTAACAGACATTTTCAGGTCCAACAGAATATAGCAAAACCTGACGATTAGCGCAAAGGGCGAAGAATCTGAGACATAAACGGCAGAAATTAGGAATTTCTGAAACTAGCTTATGAATAAACGTTTATGGTATATTCGTAAATTTCGATTCAAAAATTTTTCAGGCTATTCTTTCTTTTCGGTTTTTTCAGCGCCGGATCTAAGATTTTCTTGAAAAAATTTGGACCAAAAATTTCTTACATCTTACTTTAGGCGCTCTCCCCGGAAGAATCCGGAGGATTGGCGCGGAAGAAGCCTTTAGAAAAATTTCAGTCGGTCGGCCGAAATTGAGTGTCGACAACTACCTTTTAGAAACATTTGTTTTTCAGACAAATGTAACAATTACTCTTTATTAAAGCGATAACATTATAGCAATACTAACTATTACGATGACTAAACAACAAACAAAAAGTCGTATTTCAAGTTTTTTTTAAAATATATTTTAAGTTTCACATCCCTCTGACTATTCTTGTTGTTCCGTGCAGTTCACGATAAGGGAAAAAAACTGTGGCATAGAATGAGTTTGTTTCAACGCACTTTGAAAACATCTAAAAAAACTCATGGAAGTCATGTGTGCTATCATGTTAAAGCCCTATGAACCGTGATTTGGATATCAAAAATCAAAAACTTGTCTGTCTTGAGAAAACTGGTTTACCTTTTTTCAAATTTCAGACAAAACAAGACAATTTGATTAGAAGCTGAACTGTAAGTTTTAACTTTAATTAAGCTGATTTTTTCGAAGTAGCGTGATGAGACGATTCTATTCAACTAGCATAGCAATCGGCTTTCCTTGTTGTTCTAACCACTGAAAACAGGTGAAGAAAATTATTTTCGGGTTAATTTATTTTTTTTTACTTTTTAAAATTTATTTTCGACGCATGAGCAGGGAGTGAGAAATAAATATCGGGAAAGGTAGATGATACGAACGAAATTTAAAAATCTGCATTCAAATGACGAGTTAGTCTATTCGCTCGCTTTACTAGTTAAGATTTACTAGTTGAAATAAGATATAATTACTACTTAAAATAAGATAGATTTGGAAGCTTCATTTAGCATTTCTTTGGCACTAAAAAGAATATCAAACAAATATTCTGCAAAAAAAATCAAAAAAAATTATCAAAAAACTATCTGATTTTTTTTGTTTTTATTCATTTTTCGAAGACAGCTGTTGTCGATTATGACCAATCTTCTAACGATCTACGCATTCTTATAATTTTCGCATTACACCACGCACAACAAAAAAAAACTAAATTGAAAAACATAACTTTTTCTAGTATTTTATAATGTGATCGGAACACTGTGCTACGTGCACAGCAACTGGCTATCCGTGTTGAAAATTCTATTTGCTTGCAATTTGCGAGTTGAGATAGGGTGGCAGATTTAGGTGGGGAGGCCGCTAAATTATTTCCTCGGGCGCTTTTAGCGCCAATGTATACTATTTTTGAGTGGAACAGCGCTTTGGTTAAAACTTATCAAAAAGGGCCAAAAAGTTTTGTCTGTTTTCAAAATTTCGCCTGCGGTGCAGAAAATTTACCGCTCTGAAAATCGATATTAAAAAAATTGTCTCATTTTTAGTGTTTTAAATCCCCAACCCTTCGATCAAATTTAAGGTGTCTATCTTTTAAAATAAAGGCTATTGCTCGACGAGAGAAGAAGCAACAAAAGACGGTGTTCAGTTTTTTTCGGAGAAACATGCAACTTTTGCTTAAATTTATGGCAGTAAATGTTTCTTAGCAACGAGTACAGATCAAGCTTCCAAAGCAGATATCATGGCCACTTCACCGCCATGATTTAAACATTTGGGTTTAATTGAAAAAACTATTATTGACCTGAAAGCCACAAGCCAATAGGAAAAAAACTACAGAAAGTGAATAACTCCAAAAAAAATAACGAGTGAAATTAAAGGTGATCATATTACTTACTTTTACTGACTGGTCTTCTGAATCGATCGGCACAAAATAACAAACAGAAATTTCCAATCCGATTCCAATCGGGTAGCGATAGCTCGAAACTCTTTTGGGACCAGTTATTTAATGAAAACAAGAAATGCTGACCATTATAATACTACTGTCAAGTTCAAGCGAATACCCGTTGGAAAATAACCTAAAAGGCTCGAGTTTTTTCCTGCCTATGAATAAAAAGCCCAGGTTAGTTGAATCGCAACCGTAGTAATCCGAAAAAAAATAAACCCAACGAAAAGAAGGATACTTCCGCACTAAATTAGGAACAACAAGGTGGTGGTAAGTTAGCTGAAATATATCAATTGACTCTCTATATGTTCCTTAACTATGTGTATGTAGCCCGATATACTTTATAATTTGCAACATCAATCGCTCGCTAGCTATTATCTGCCCAGCTATTTCCTGCAGCATTTTTCTTCTCTTTACTCGATTGAAGATGTTGATGTAAAAGAGGCTCGACTAATAGCCACATTCTGTTGTTCACGGGCAATAAAAACACACTTCCTTTTTGACCAGCGCTGATTTTCAGGTAGGCAAATTTTTATTCACGGGCCAAATAGTGGCGAGAAAAGAAGATGAGCGACAAGGAGAAAGTATTGAGTAGTAAGTACTAGTAGTAATTTGTTCTTCTCTCTGTAATTTTAATACAATCACTGACTGCGGCTGACTACCTGTGCTTCTCTCGCAGTCGGTCTTATTTAATAACATATTTTCTGATTCGGATCTCTATGCTTTCCAGTGTAGTAGCCATGTTGCAGTCAGTAGTAACAATAACACAACGCTAAATGAAGTATTGAGGGTTAAATGAAATGAAATCGGGGAATGATTTGTGAAATTTACTTACTAGCGGGAAGGAAAGAATTGTAGTAGAACTAAAAAGGGAAATATAGGAATATTTTAACCTGGAAATTTAAGGGAAGTTTAACCTGGAATTTCAAATGGCAGAATCCATGGAAGCAATAATGTCACTTAACTTAATGCTTGGTGCTTTGGTTAACCTGAAAATTCAGCTGAGCAAATTATTCCCTTTTTTAAATATTCAGCAGCAAATTATGCAGGAATCAAATTATGCGGGAAAAGAGATCGTTAATTTTTAATTTGGTAAAAGGATAAATAATTTATACATTATTTTATAGTCGCTAAATTTTGATACTATTTCAAAACTCGAAAATCATTAATCAACCAAACATTCAATGACTATTTCATCTTGAAGGTTCTTCGCCTTGGGTTTGAGAAATATTTTTGAAAATTGCTATTCCGAGATGGTGAATTTGTACGGTTCAATTTCCTTCAATCAAATGAATATTAAAGTTCGAGAAAAGCGTCGTAAAAATAATTAGTAAGTTCAAACAAGTTCAGACTAAGATGGCCTCAATTCAATCGCAACCACATGGTAACTAATAAGCAAGATGGCTGCGACTTAATTTGACCATTAAAGCCAAAAGAAAGAAACAGTCCATAGGTATAATAAATGAATCCGCCGACTAGCACGGACAAATAAAAAAGACTTGCTGCGGTATCAAAGGATCCCTGTCTAATCAAGCTTTTTTGATGAACTTTTTATCTAACGCTAAAATTATTGCGCCAATCCAGCTTATATTTATAATTTTAAATTCTCAAATTATGAGCAGATAACCCAGCAGACGAAACAAAAATTGGCGGAAATCGGGTTTTGAGTCGTCGACTTTTCTTAGATAATAATGAATGAGAGGTGGAAGTCGGATGTGAGGAGGATCAAAATATTTATTAAGACTGATTAGACTCGACTAGCTACAGTAATGACTAAACTTTGTTTCAATTTGAACGACAAAGATAATGATTGTTTAACGAGATTAGATCGAATCCAGGAGGCTACTTTATACGTGGGTACTGTATGATTCTATAACAATGGTAGACTTCGTTTCTGAGCTAGGGATGATTCTAGGATCTGGATGTTACGTAATAGCAACAGGCTGTTATGTAAGAGGATGGTAAATTAGGAGTTCCAGATTTCAACTGGAGATTTGCCCAGAGCCCGTGTTGCCACATAACAATAACTGAAACAAACAAACAAACTGAATGATTCAAACTCTTCCTGACAGAGAAATTAAGCACATCGAACCGCAGTCTAGGTCCAATAGCAGATCAATATCCAATTAATTGCAATTGCCTCAATTCTAGATTTTCCAACTTTGCACAGATAATTTTTAGTCAAATAATACCAACAGAAGAGCAACCTACTCTAATTGAACTTAATAAAAACCTACAGAACACAGCAATAAAAACCTACAGAATTGCGGCGCAAAAACTGATATGCAAAAAAAAACGACACGATCATTCTTTTCAACTATCATTCACTAAAACAGCAAAACAAACTAAAAAGAAGCGCGATAAACAGGTAGATAACAAAAAAGTACAGGGGAGTAACATATTGTGGCTGAAACTAAACAATCAGTACATGCTCAATTTGAATAACTTTTCTACACCAATATTATTCATGATGACAATTATGCTTACTGCAACTAAAGCTTAGGGCTGAAGCTGAAACCCATCTAAGTAGACATGACGCAAATGGCCAAGAGGGACTCCCTTGCAACTCAATCACTGATCCACAACCATTGTTTTTATTCCATCTCAAACAAAACAGTCGTCACGCTAAACTCGGATTAGCTGCGATTTAGCAGCAACTGCAAACAAAACCATAAAACTTAAGCTCGAATTATCCAAAATTGCATCTATGACGCAATTTATGGTAGAACCGATCATAAAAACGTTTAGAAAATTAGCCGGCAAAACATGGTAGTTAATTTTCCATCTAAAAATATGAGTAAGAAACTCATTTTTGGCATCAAACTGACGTCAACCTAAAGCAGATCTGAAGTAGAGCGAGAAAAGTTGTCAATAACTGCAAAAATCATTTAAAACCGTTTTCAACTAATCGAAAAAATGCCTTCAGGACTCAGCTACGAGTCGTAACTCAAAAAATGACTACTTGAAAAACCAATCATTTTTCCCGATATAATCTGTGTTACTTTTATGAACTCAATTGATAGCTCACTTGATGAAATCAAAAACAAGCAATTGAATCAGCTGTAAAAAAAAACGAAAAGACTCCATTGATTGTTTTCTTGTGACTCAATTACCCGCACCATTACAGAAATAACTTAAATCAGAAGAAAAATCCAGCTGTGGAAGAATATCCTGCAAAAATAAGCAGACAAACGATAGTCACTCAGCTAAGATTGTCAAAATGAAAATTTTGAATGTCCAAACAATGAGGCGCTCCTTTTTGGTCTCGAACATCAAACCGTGGTGACCCCAAGCATGCGTGTAACCTCTACGCTAAGAGAGCCAACGTAGTATCAAGAACTTGATATGCTAATGCTGTAAACTCATGAAATCTGAGAAAGTTTTAGGCGTGAAAAAGTCTTGTAACCGGTTGAAGGAAAAAATAACAAAATTGAAATTAACACAAACTAAATAAAACAAAGAAAATTTTGACTTGATTTCAAGACCATCAAATTTCCACAACTGACCAAGCCCACATACCACTCTTTACTTTTTTTAACTGCACTCAAAAAACCCATTTTGAACTCTGTAGAGCAGACTTGTGTCTTCTGTCGATGGTAATTGCGAAAGTTTAAAATATTAGTTTCCGCACTGTGGATGCACCCTTGTGAGGCTAATAACAGCAAAACTAATTAGGAACAAGACTGCTCGTATCAGGGCGAAGCCCTGAATGTTCCGACTGCCTTTTAAGGTTTACGCACCTCCGATACTCATGATAAACCGCATATATTGGAAATAAGATCTGCATTCTTTGAGTGTGCTTTGACAGCACCCAATTACAGGGTTCGTAATTACAAATTTTGCAAAGTATTTTATTCAATATTTTTATACACATTTTGAAGAACCGTAAAATTTTGTGAAATTTTATATAAGTTCTTCGAAAAATTTAAAATGAACTAAGAAACGTAACATCTGGTAAACTAAAAGCAATTCAGCAGTCGCATTTGGACGCAAGATTTACATATCCTGTTCGTGAATTCAAATTTTGAGAAACTTCACCCTAAGTTTTCTAAAAAGAGGTATTTTTGTTTGAAAACCAGAAAAAAATTCACATCTCGAAAACTATCAAGATTTGAGCAGTCTTATTAGATGGAAATATTCAAACTCTTTGAAAGTACTCTGACAGCACACAACTACAGGGTTGGGAATTTCACTTTAGTCAACTATTTTGTAATTTGAGTTTTCTGGAAATTTCCAAAAAAAATCACAAAAATCGCCGTATCTCTATTTGAGCATTCTTAATTGGAGCCCGAATTGAGCATTCTTAATTGGAGCCCGAATTTGCAACTCCTGAGATTACTCTGACAGCCCCAACTACAGGCTAGGGGCTGTCGAAAACTACAAAAATTTGAGCAGAAATATTCAGAGGCCAGATTTGCAACCCTCTGAGAGTACCCTCACAGATTCCAACAACAGGATTGAGATCTTCAAAGTTTTGGAATTTTTTAACATCTTATTTGTTTTGAAAATGTCGGAGAAAATCATAAAAAACGTCATATCTCGAAAACTACAAGGATTTGAGCAGCCATAATTAGGGGCAAGATTCGCAACCCCTGAGAGTACCCTCACAAAATCCAACAACAGGACTGAGATCTTCAACGTATTGGAATTTTCTAAAATCTAAGTTTTTGAAAACGTTTTAAAATCATAGAAAACGTCATATTTCGAAAACTACAAGGATTTGGTTATTCATATATGGAGGCCAGAATCTCAAAACCTGGGGAAACTCTGAGAACATCCAACTATTGGGTTGCTAAATACAAACTTGATGAACTAAACGGGAAAATCGAAAAAAAACCTTAACCATTGCAAAATACGATTTAGCTTAAACGTGAAAAAACTCTTTTGTTAAAGATGCAAAAAAATACGTTGAAAGAATTTAAACATGGCGAGATAGTGAAGCCCGCATTTAAATATATAATAGCTTTGATGAAAGAAAGTTCAAAAATTAGGAGACGGGTAGACAGACATCATCAAATTAATTTAAAAAAGCAGGTATACAGACAGACTTAATTTAACCTCAAAAAAATAAGTGAAAAATTAATGAACTTGCGGAAAACTAAATAAAACATTTTCTTAAGCATTGCAATATATGATATAGTGCTGATTTAAATTAACCGGACAAAACGTGTTGAACTTGAAATTTAAAACGCATTTGTCTCAAGTTGGGTTGAGTTTAGGTGAAAATTTATGAAGACAAAAAATTTTTAGCAGAATTAATATGGTGTAATATGTTATGCGATATTCGGGTCCAAAATTTTATCCAAAAATGAGTCATTTTGGCTTTTTTAGTTAATAAAAACATGCGCCAAAAATACCCAGTCGATCACAGACATAATTAGATCAAAGTGAGCCCCTTTAATAGCCCAACAAACTTTAAGAATGTTATAGTCTCCAAAACATTGTATAAGTTAATTTATTTTTGTTTGATAGACAAAAAAGGTCGTTTTTACTATATAAAATACCATCTTTTTATTTAAAAACATTTTTAAAGGGTTTGCAATTTTTTTGGAGAATATACCCTTCTTAGAGTTTGTTGGGCTACATAAGGGGCTCACTTTGATCCAATTATGTCTGATCGAATTGGTATTTTTTATTAACTAAGAAAAGCCAAAATGACCCATTTTTGGGGTAAAATTTTGGGCCCGAATTTCGCAAAACAGATTACATCGCATTAGTTCTGCTAAAACTTTAAGCAAGTTTTGTCATCATAAGTTTTCACCTAAACTCAATCCAAATTGAGAAAAACGAGTTTTAAAATTCAAGTTTAGCTCGTTTTGTACGGCCGGTTAATTTAAATCAGCACTGTATAGCTTAAGCATGAAAAAATTCTTTCGTTAAACATGCAAAAATATTATGCTTAAACATGGGAAATAGCTGTCACTAGCATTTAAATATAGTATAGATGGAGCAGTAATAACATAAAAAAATTAAATGTATCAAAATAAAACGAAACTTTTTTTTCTAAAATTTGAATTTTTTTATGAAAATCATCCCCCCTCACGCCATATAAAGAAAAGAATAAATTTTGCTCCTTGTAACAAATTAATTACGGCAAATAAGCTTCTTTTAACTAATTTGGAACAATTCAGAAGACGGATTAAATCTCCGCTTACGCGTTTATAGCGAGAAATATATCGCGCGTTAATTGTTCCAAATTGGCCAAAATGGCCATCTTTAAACCCTCATAACTTAACGAAAAAGATCACAGGTGAAATATCTTTTCAAATTTGAGCTCAGAACAACAATACCTTTCGAATGATATAAATAAACTCCGTCACAAGTGGCTAGTTAAAAAGTCAAAATTTGTCTGAAGAAAAAAAACCCACCCCGAGCACAAATATTCCGTTACTTTCGTATCGAAAGTCGGAACAATAAAATGAACTCACATACCACAAACGTTTATAACGTATTCAAATGGAGAAAATGTTTCAAACGAGACTCGACTGTTGCTATGTGCAATTGAGAGAACATTTAATTCAGATGTATCTTGGAAAGTAATCAAAAAGACTCGAAAAAATCCAAGGGCGGAAGGGGACTTGGATTAAATCTAAATCACAATATAGGTTCCTATAATAGCTTGATTACATACCTGTGCTTAGTTTTGTTTCACTAATTAATTTATTGTTCACATCATAAATTTTTACAGATCGCATAAATTTTACTTTACTTAACCAGTCAATGGTCAAACAATAAAAAAAAATTTCTACGATTTTAGAACTAATTTTTTGCAATATTTCAATAAAATTGATGAAGTGCCTCAATCTCAGATCCAAAAAATTTAATCTTAATTAGTTACGAAGATTATGCTGAACTTCAAGGATCCTAGAAATAACTGAACATAGTCAAATAACAAATCAAAAACAAATTAATGAATGCAAGGAAACAGAAAACAAGACTGGTCGTATATCAGGACAATGCACTACATGTTCCGACTGCCCCTTAATCCATATCGAATAATTTTTTGGATTTTGAAAAACTATAAATTTTGGACAATATCAAAGATCAAGTGTGAAAATTTGAGTCGTACGAAACTAATATGACCAATTAGCTAGCCTCAATTCAATTTGGAACAATTTTATTGTCCGGGATAAATCGTCACGCATAAATAATTTGCGTAACGCTTTCAGATTTATTTATAAAATCTTCAAAATATTGCATAAATTACTCCAGAGCATGGCCAAATTGGCTATCTTCAAACTCACAGAACTTCGGAAAAAACGATCGGAGGTAAAAGATCTTTTTAAATTTATTTCAGGTCGATACCTTCAATGGGGCATAAAATTTTTTTTATTATTAACTATCATTTCGATCGTCGAAAATCGACTAACTAAAAAAAACCTCACCATGCATAAATATCTCAAAAATTACCAGAAAACTGGATCAAAAGATAAAATTTTTATTTCGCTGGGACATCTGATTACTAAATTCCACTTTCGAAACTAGAAGTCGATCACAATTTTCGTGACCTTTACAATTTTGCTGTTCGATATTGGAGTTTGCCTTCCTTTTAACAATGGAAATGCACTGAATTTAAAAAGAAATCACCAGTCAAACCGCGAAAAATCGAAAATAAGTATGAGTAAAGTTTAAGACTTTCCTCTAAAAAAATCATCACCAAGACCGATATAAGAGTCTTCACTCTTATAATGGCTATTGGTATATCAAGGCAAATCCATAAATATTCCGATAGCTCTTCGACTGGTCTTGAATAACTTTTTGTAAAAATTAAATTGATGAACATAAAAATTTTTAATGCTAATATTCAATATTAAGTACTAAAACTTGAGTCGTATACGGAATTAATATGGAACTATGAGTGCGGCATAATTCGCCACACATAAATAAGAAGCGTATTGGAACTATTATAAATTAAACGAGAAGTTTCTAACCGCAGTTAGGCTAGTGTAAGTACACACCCTCCTGGGAATCCGAAGATTCCAGGATCGATACCCTAGATGTCATGTAAAAGTGGTCTGAATAAAACACCCCCTTTAGCAAATATATTCCTCACTTTGTTCCAAAGTCGGAACAAAAATATAAATTTGTAAGATTGTTCAGACATGCTTCCGTACATGTACCCTTAAAAACGGTATGAACCTGATCACTCTATATTTCAACGTTTTCACATTTCCTGACAAAACAAAACCGTCTAAAAAAAGCATCAACATGTATTTTATAATAACCGTATTTTGCAGTAAGAATTAAGCGTCTATAGCTATTCCTTCGGACGAAGATAGTAATAGTAGTTATATAATAACGTAGTACAAATCAGCAAAGGAAGTTAAAAATGAGCTAGCTAGACCTGGACCTGAATTGGAATAATAGTGTCAGCTGAATAAAATGTTTGAAATGTTGAATAAACTTTCAGTTCACGACAGTGCAATTTTCTTCAAAGCCATTGGCGCACTTTGTTCACCTTATTGGCGAATGCGGTTCGGAGGTTGTAAGCACACAAAAGCGCACACACATGTATCTTAGTCTACTCCGCTGCGCAGACTGAAATATCACCAAATGTCAGATTGTTCACTGTTCGTATTTTTCACAAAATAACTCCCCGCTCACACCAAATTCAGAGCAGAACGGTTCTAAGGGCAGAAAAGGAACGCACAAAAACAACGTTCAACGGCAATAGCACAAGGTGAAAACAATCAGGATGAAGATTGAACAAACGATTCCCATTTTAGACGTCGTCTACTTAGCAGAAAATAACTGAAGCAGAAACAAGAAGAGAATGAGTTAATTCATTTCAAACACATGATAAATATATCACAAAATCAAAACTCTCAACTCATTCTTCCTGTATATCCGAAATCTTAGCATCCTTACAAAATTATAACTAAATGATCAAGTTCAGGGGCGGATTTAGAAGAGCGAGAGGGGAGGACTCTCTTCCTAGTTAAACCATTTCTTCTCAGGGTTTCTTCGAACCATTTCTTCTCAGGACTTCGACCCCTAATCACCCACAGGGTCACCCCCCCCCCCCTCTGGTATTATTTTACGGCATCCTTTTTCGGCAAACCGACCTTAAGTTTTTCTAAAGGCGCCCTTGGGGCCAATATATATAGTAATTTTGTAAAGTAGGAGCAATATATGAAGTAGATGCGCACCAAATAAAAAAACGCGATGTGTTGTCAAAACTTTGGCCTGTTTCTGCAAAGAAGGGTCTTTGCAGTGTTTTTAGAGAGTACGGAAAATCAATTTGGCCAATAAAAAAAAACACCATTTTTCGAAAATCGGATACCCCCAACTTCCAGAAAATCTTAGTGAAGTTCTTCCTGACAGATCAACTTGTTTAAATTTCCTTACATAACTTGAATTATTTAATAATTACTAGGTTAGCCTTCACCTTCCTTATTTGAAATTAACGTTTAAATGAAGCGTCTGATTCGGAGTAACTATGCTTAACTAACTAAAATCAGAATAAATATGCACGAACATTTAGCGACTAGACAGAATTAGCACGAAATAAATGCGATAGCAGCAAAGCAAATTGGTACCCATTTTCAGCCCAATTCCAGCCAAAACTTGCAATATTTGCTCTGGCTGGTCGACATAACTGGCACAACACGTTTCATCGGTAAATCAATTATGACTTTTACTAGAGAAATAGTTAGAGAATTATTAACCTAAACTGCAATGAATACTCATTGTGGTGAAAAAAAATTCAAATAATCTTATAAAAAAAACACTATCAATACAACATTTATTCGGTTATAGTAAAATATTGATTTTTGATTTTGACTAACTGAACATAAAACTTTGATTTAGCTGAAATCCGGTCGTCAAAAATCCATTTTAAACACAAAAAAAAAACTGAAATTATATGGTAAAAAATTGATAGAATCAAACTATGAAAGAAGCGTTGCCGGCGTAATAATATAAAGAGAATAATCATATGATACTAAACTGTAGCGATGCAATTTAGCGAATCAGATATTTTCTGAAAAATTGATTTGAAAGAGCTTAAAAAAGGCGGGCCGATTCGGTTCTGGAAATTTTCTGCAGTTAAGCCCATCGATTGTCTGCCTTATTATCATTTGTAGATTCATATCTTAATAATAGACACTTACCACCTAGACTGAGCTGAACTTAGTTGTATTGTAGATTTCAACTCTAAATTGACAGTGGACCGCGTAAAAACAGCAGCACTATCTTTCAGTCGCCATTACAATACCAACATAGCACCATAACATGTGCCATACATGTAAACTCTATCCCAAACTGTTTCTTGTGACAACATTCGAATTAACTGCACGCAAAACAAACCACGGGTGTTAGAATACACAGAATCAGAAAATAGCGACATGGTATTTAGACAAATTTACATAATCAATTTTACCACCACGAGTTCACAAGTCAAGTGACCTTTGAGGTTGCTGAAACAATCATGTTCGGAAGAAATCAAAATTGAATCCATGACAGCAGATCACATGTGAATATTCAAAAACACCAGCACCTTTGTTCGGTCGTTAAATTAGAAAAGTCCGCAACAAGGGCACAATATGAACTTATGTGCAAACAAGGCAACCTTTATTATATGGTCAAATTTTTATGACCTTGGTGCCATTAGTTTGTGGTAAGATTAAACCATACTTTTTGGCGGCTCCCCTTTTTTTGATTTTTTTTTTACTAAACAGCCCCACAATTTAACTTGTCCGGCAATTTTTGACTCGAGTTCGCACAGCAATATCTACAAAACTAGGCCCAATAAGTGAGCGGCGGCAATTTTTAGCAAGTGCAGCGAAACGTTTTGCAAAACTTAAAAGTTCAAGAATTTCAGAAAGCTTCAAGAATTTAGGATCAGCTTGAAGAATTCTCTTTTGAGACAGTCATGGTCCTTTTATCCGTTGTGGTGCTTTTAGAAAAAAGCACAAAAACCATGTTATCTCAATTTCAAATTCCTATCATTTTAGAAAAAACATCAAAGCATTTTGACCAAAAACATTTACCGAATAATTTTTGCAACAGTCTTATAAACAGACATGGCCAGACATCTGGTGCATGAAAACCAAACTCATATGAACAAAAGCACAACTCAACGTGGTTGTGAAATCATTAGATGAAAAACAAAGAACTTCAATATTGGTTAGATATGTCCACTTCTATTAAGCCAACTGTCAAAACCGCATTTTGATGTTATCTTCATTTTAAATTTGAGAAACGCGCACTTCCAAGAAGACAATGGTTGACGTTTTGAATGGAAAATACTAACAAAATTTCTGCTTAGAATCGCAAACATTGAAAGATTATTTCATTAAAAAAACAGTTGCAAAAAAACTAAGCCAAATTTAAAATATTTACCTGCCAGTGGTTGCAAAAATTGACAATGCCAAATTTAGTCGTAAACAAGACAGCTGTAAACCTTTTTGAACAGATAAATTAAGCAATGCATTACTAAAACAAACACTTTTGAGATGAATAAAAGCCGAGGAGATTAAGACTAAAGGCCAAGTAGTCAACTATCAATATCATACCAATGTTATGTACAGTATGTGACAAGACAATCCAATCTGCGTTGAAGCTCATAACGATAATATAACACATTCTCTAATTCTGCTTTAATTGGTGAATTCTGCTTTTAGCAAGAACCATTTTGCAAGCAAATTTGAACCAACGACAATCCGTAGACTAGACATCAATTGAAACAAACTTCTTTAATGACTTCACAACTGAACCTATCGAGCTGAACACTTGAGACTATCGGCCAAACCTATGTACAAATGAGACACCGGTACATAGGTACAAACTAGACACCGGTACATATTAAAACGGTTTTACAAGCGAAGTAATACCTTGTATGCATGGTTTCTGATCAAAAAAAAAGACGAGAAAGTGACAACTTACAAAAGCAGGATGACCACTTCGGCCGAGAAAAAAGTGACCTGTTCTTTTTATTCGTTAAATAGCTATAGCATTCTAGCTAAATCAGTGGATTTTTTACTCATGAATGCAACAGTAGAATGTTTTAAAAAACTTTAAAATGTTTAAAAAAACACAAAAAAGTAACTTTGAGTGACTTCGGACAAAAAAGTGACCAGGTGGATCTCTTGTACAAAAAACTGGATAAATTTTCATCAAATATCCAGACCACCGACTTAATTGTCTTCGACATATAAAAATGCACCCTCAACAATTTATCAGTCATTTAACGCAAAAATTATTCAAACTTCTCTCTGTTAATTTATCTAGGGCTAAATTGGATGAGACGAGCAAGAAAATTCATCAAAAAGGTTCGATTAACAGCAGAATTTCAAATTTTCTCAGAAAAGCATCAGACAGCACCTGTTATTCGTCCTTCAACTTTTGCGAAAAAAAGAATGTATTTCAATTGAGCCTACTAATCTTATGCTGTAAAAATCCCAAGTTATTGCGCTATACTAGTGAAAAAATATTACCTCGATAAGTAAATTGTCGAGGTGTTAATGATGTGGTGAGTCTATATAACATATTTTTGTTTTTCTCTATGTTTTCACTAGTATTAGTTAGAGGTAAACAAAGGGAGTTAGTATAATTGTAATAAGCTGTCCAATGAAGCGTTGGCATTAAAACGTGCTCATCAACAAAATTTCGTGTTTCGTTAGCAATGGTAGGTGTATTTAATGTATATTGCGGAAATGAGGGTAGGGTGATTTCTACTTTTAGTACATAAGCATCAGACAGCACCTGTTATTCGTCCTTCAACTTTTGCGAAAAAAAGAATGTATTTCAATTGAGCCTACTAATCTTATGCTGTAAAAATCCCAAGTTATTGCGCTATTTATTTTTTTAAATTCTCAAGTACCACAACACAATTAAGGCCAGCACACAAATCAACTGCTTCCAAATCTTTGCAAACCAGTAACCATAAAACATCTTTATAAATACAAAATTTTCACATAAACAATCTCCATTACTAAAATGAAATTGTTTTGTATTATTTCACTAAATTTTTCTCATACCGGATTTTTTAAAACATTTTTAGTCACATTTTAATGCTTTTGAAAATTGTGTAAATAGAACTTATAGAAGACTTGCGTAACTGCAGCAAAGCTACTTCGAGAAACAGATCAGAATTGAAAAACTATAAAAAACGATGTATCTCGAAAAGCAAAAATATTTGAGCAGTTATATTTAGTGGAAAAAATTGCAACCTCAAAGTGTACCCTCAGAAAGCTCCCCCAAACTATTAAGAAACTCGAGTGCGGTTGGTTTTTTAGAATCTAAGATTTCGAAAAAAAAAGAAAATAAAAAAACCAGAAATCGAAAAAAAAAAGAACTTGAGCGGTTATAATAAGAGGACAGAAAAGCAGCCCCATAATCAAGCAAAAGAGCAGCTCAAAACCAGTTCTAAGCAAAGCAAAAGAGCAGCCCAAATCTAAGTATATATTTTTTAAATTAAAAAATGAGTTAAAAGACTCATATTGCGGAAACCAAAAGAAGTTGAACAAGGATGTTTGAAGGCCAGATTTGCAACACCTGAGTGTACCGTGATAGCACACCACCATATGGTGGAGAACCGGAAGCTTATCAAATCAACTGAACCGAAAAGCTCTAAAAGATTGCATTTCGAAATGAGTAAGTCTGTAAATTTAAAGCATTCACGCTTCCACAGATGTATCGTTGAAATAAGAAATGAACTTGGTAATTTAAAACCATAATCAAATCATTGAACATGATGGAATTTCTTAAACATGTTTCAAGTGAAACGCCAATTAATTAATGTATAGATAGATGCATATATAGATAGAGATTTGTTCATATAGTCTTTAAAAAATGTCTTCAAAAACTGTCTTAACCATTGCCACATCCGATATAGCTTTAGCATGCTAAGATACGCTATGGTGCTTAAATATGTCAAAGATAGCTAAAACAAATTTCAAGATACACGAAACACGCACTTAAAAATAACCTAGATATAGATATTAAAATAAACCAGCGCATGCCTCGCATCTACGGTGATTCAAATAGATCGTTGAACGTAAAAAAGAGCTTCCTCAAACATCTATCGGGGGTTCTTTTTCATATAAAACGCATTATCTCACAAAATGAAAAATTTGGAGCAGATAAATTAGAGGGCAGATTTTGCGACCTTGTATAGTACCCTGATAACATCCACCTTAGGGTTCAGATTCTCAATTTTGATTACTTGCTTTTAAATCTAAGTTTTTTTGAATAAGTATTGTAAAAAATCATGAGTAATACCATATTTGGAATTGAGAAAGATTTGAACAGTAAGAGTTAGAAGATTTGCGTAACTGCAGGAAAGCTGCTTCGAAAAACAAATCAGGCTGACAAAACTAAGCAACTGAAATTTGTCAATGAACTTTAATCTTGCGAAATTACAAAAACAACTCAGCAAGAAAATCTATTAGCAATCACGTAATTTTGAAAATGCCCGGCAAAATAATGAGGGATTCAAATTCTTTTAGTTTTTTTCATATCTAAAAACTTTTGAAAAGTGTTGAAAAAAAACTATTAGAAACGATGTATCTCGAAAACCAAAAGGATTTGAACAGTTATATTTAGTGTGCAAATTGCAACCCCGTAGTGTACCCTCAGAACGCTCCACCAAAGTTTTGAAAGTTTCGAGTTCTGCTGGTTTTTGAAAATTAAGTTTTCGAAAGAAACTGAAAAATAAAAAACGCCAGATATATCAGAAAGCAAAAAGATCTTGAGCGGTTATATTTAGAGACCACAAAAGCAAAGTGTACCCTAAAAGCAGCCCACAATAAAGTTGAGAGAATCCTAATGGTTAGTTTTCTCCAAACCTAAGAATTGTTTATTAAATTGAAAAATGGTTTACAAAACTAACATCTCGGAAACCAAAAAAAAATCAACAATAATATTTGGAGGCCAGATTTGCAATACCACAGTGTACCGTGATAGCACACCACTATGGAGTTGCAATTTTTTCAAATAAACTGAAACGAAAAGCTTTAAAAAAATTTCAATTTCGAAATAAGGAAGTCTGTACAGTTACAGCATTCACGCTTCTAAAAATGTATCGTTGAAAGAAGAGATGAACTTGGGAATTCAAAACCACAATCAAGTCATTGAATATGATGGACTTTCTTACACATTTTTCAAGTGAAACGCCAATTCAATCATGTATAGATAGATGTAGATTTGTTCATATAGTCTAAGCAAATGACTAGAAAAGGTCTTACGCATTGCCACATACGATATAGCTCAAACATGCAAAGATACGCCTATGGTTCTTACATATGGCAAAAAAGCTTTAAAATTGCGAGATACAATTAACAAGCATTTATATATAGTCTAGATACAGATATTAAAATTAACTAGCGCATGACTCGCGCCCTCGGTGCTTAAAATAGATCGTGGAACGTAAAAAAGGCTTATTACACCATCTATCAGTGATTCCTTTCTCATAAAAACGCAAATCTCGGAAATAAAATGACTTGAGCAGATAAATTAGAGCGCAGATTTGCTACCCTATATTAAACCCTGCACTGATAACAACCCACCATAGTGTTCAGAATTTCAAATTTATATCTTGTTTTTTAATCTTCGATTTTGAAAAAGTATTGTAAAAAATCATGAGAAACGCCATATCTTAAAAACAAGAAAAATTTGAGCAGTATGATTAGAAAACTTGTGTTACTGCAGCAAAGCTGCTTCGAGAAACAGATCAGGCTGACTAAACTAAGCAACTGGAATTTGTTAATGACCTTGAATATTGCGAAATTACAAAAACAACTCAGCAAGAAAATCTATTAGCAATCACGTAATTTTGAAAATGCCCGGCAAAATGCTGAGGGTTTCAAATTCTTTTTTGTTTTTTTTTTTCATATCCTGAAGTTTTTGAAAAAATTGAAAAAAAGCTATAGAAAACGACGTATCTCGAAAACCACAAGGATTTGAACAGTTATATTTAGAGTGCAATTTGCAACCTCATAGTGTACCCTCAGAACGCTCCCCCAAATTATTCAGAAATTCGAGTTATGCTGGTTTTTCAAAATTAAGTTTTCGAAACAAACTGAAAAATTTAAAAAACGCCAGATATATCAGAAAGCAAAAAGATCTTGAGCTGTTATATTTAGAGACCACAAAAGCAAAGTGTACCCTAAAAGCAGCCCACAATAAAGTTGAGAGAATCCTGTTGGTTAGTTTTCTCCAACCCTAAGAATTTTTTATTAAATTGAAAAATGGTTTAAAAAACTAACATCTCGGAAACCAAAAAAAAAAGCAACAAAGATATTTGGAGGCCAGGTTTGCAATACCACAGTGTACCATGATAGCACACCACCATATGGTTGAAAACCGCAATTTGGTCAGATAAATTGAAACGAAAAGCTTTGAAAGGTTGCATTTGGAAATAAGTTAGTCTGTACAGTTAAATCATTCACGCTTCTCAATATGTATCGTTGAAAGAAGAGATAAACTTGGGAATTTAAAACCACAATCAAGTTATTGAACATGATGGATTCT